TTCAGCTGGTGGCGCCCTAGGCGACCGCCTAGCTCGCCTATGCCTAGAAACGGCCCTGATCCTAGTGACAGTTTTTGTACCTTTTTTTCTAAGAGTGTAGATATCCTTTAGTGTTCATATGTGGGATAATTGTGCCTGTTTTATTGTTTGCAAGTCTAAAACAGAGCAGGATGAGCTGCATGCTGAATTTTAAATAAAGATACAGGGATTTGTTCAAATCCCAAAGTATGAACAATAGTAATAGCCAATAGCATTATTATGTGCAGTATTCTAGTGACAGTTTTTGTACCTTTTTTTCTAAGAGTGTAGATATCCTTTAGTGTTCATATGTGGGATAATTGTGCCTGTTTTATTGTTTGCAAGTCTAAAACAGAGCAGGATGAGCTGCATGCTGAATTTTAAATAAAGATACAGGGATTTGTTCAAATCCCAAAGTATGAACAATAGTAATAGCCAATAGCATTATTATGTGCAGTATTCACACGAGTCTATCCCTAGCTGTGTGTGTGTGTGTGTGTACCTCTTGATAGCTTCCTCCTGCCGTCTCTTCTTCTGGTTTTTCTCCTGTAGGTATGTCCAGTGTGTGTGGTTGCGGACACGGTCGCTCTCTCGGGCGATGTCAGAGGCGTTCTGGATTACCAGCTCGTCATACGCCCTCAGACCGCTGTCCTCCACGTACTGCAGGAAATGTGTGCACTCGTCTTCCCCTGAATCCATCCTTCAGCACAGCAGAGAGACTGCCTAGGAGACAGAGAGAGAGAGAGAGAGAGAGAGAGAGAGAGAGAGAGAGACTTGAGTGTCTCACACACAATGTCATTCCATCCTCTTGAGAGCTTGTTCTTTATAAAAAAACAATGAACTTTGGAGGTACGGGTGGGACATATGCACACACACACACACACACACACACACACATAATGGCAGGGGAATATTCTCAGGGGAATATGTTATCCTTTAACACTGAAGAGCATGATTCACTGCTGGCCATGCTGGGAAAGGGCAAGAGCTAGCATGTTTAACATATGTTTACAAAGCTACCTCAAATGATGATGAGAACACAAAAATATACATATAGAGTTAATTATAATCTACAGTATATATATTATTGTTCTATCTATCATTCTATCTATTGTTCTTTCCTTTTCTATCTAACTTCTGGGGAGAATTTTGTCCACAAAGTACACAAGTATATAAACAGGTTGAGACTAGTAAGATCAGTCAGTTTCTTAGCATTACATGCAAACAGTGGTAACATCTGGCCGAACATTATGTGCCACTTACAGGCCTTATTTCATCCTACTGCTTTGTTTCTACATGCTTTTAAAAACCGTACACTGTACATAAAGATAAATGATTTTCAGCCTAGTTTTGTGTGCGCGTGAGAGTATGTCAAGTTTATTTTTACAACTTTGTGAAGATGTCATCCAGTGTGCTGTTCTCTGTTGTATTATTCAGCATGTCTTAATATAGACTCTGATCTCAGATTGTCTCCCTCTCTATATATCTCTTCCTTAGTCACAATCCTACCTACACCTATGCCTTTCCTCCATTTAACATCTCTCACGCACTTCTATACACACCCATGTGAGCACGCACGCACACACACACACACACACACCTGCACATGCCCATAGATGCCTTCACACTCTTTCATACACAGGGACACACAGCTGTATTCTATAAATGGAATTTGAGGAGAAAGAACTGTGGGTTTCCAGGCAACAGTATCCTAGTGCGCTGACATAATGCAGGAAGCTGAGAACCTAATTCTCTGCTGAAGATGCATTAGTTCCGCTTTACACTGGCAGGCATGATATCCCCACCATGTGTGCGTGCGTGTGTGTGTGTGTGTGTGTGTGTGTGAGCGAGAGTCTCATGTAATGCCGAAAGCATGAAACAAGATATTCTTCTCCTCTACTCTGTAGATGTTTGCCACAGATGGATCATGTTTCACAACTATGTTTTATCACCATTTGTGTATGTATTTTAATAGAACATCTAACACTAACTCTCTTTTTCAGAGTGATGAGATGGCAAGATGCCACATTTCCATTGCTGGCACTCACACACACAAAATAGGTCAGCGAGACCACAGCACCACTTCAAAGGATCCCGGTGAGTGGAATATAGCTTCCTTATTCATTCCATTACTCTGTAATTCACCGTTTCCTCCGCACCACACTACATTAATAGTGCCAATTCATAACTGAGGAATAGAAATAGCCTTCAATACTGCACAACACACCCAACGTGAGTAGATCCAGAATCATTGAAACACAAGATAATCACTGGAATACACCAAGAACCAGTTGGATGTAGCGATTCTCACATAGCGCACACTCATTTAAAGGGATAGTTCACCCAAAAATGAAAATTCAGTTTCATTTACTCCCTGTCATGTCGTTCCAAACCTGATTGACTTTATTTGTTCCATAGAACACAAAATAAGGTATTTTGAAGAACATTGAGGTTCTAAAAATATTGAATTTCAAGTATGAACCAAAAACTATGGTCATTTTTCATTTATATTCCAGATTAGAAAGTCATACAGGTTTGAAATGACATGATGACAGAATCTGTATTTTTTTGGATGAGCTTTTCCTTTAACAGAGCATGCCAAGTCATTTCATTGAAACGTGTAAATATCCCATTCTGTTCAAATGTCAGCAGAAGTTGAATCATGAATGAATCTGAAGATGTAGCTGGGAATTGTGGGTAATATGCTGATTTGGATCCAGAGCGATCAATTGATGCTCAGTTTGACTCTTCTTGTCACACAGATAATGGAAAAACTGATGTATACAAGGAAAAGAATTACATATGAAATGAGAATATTCAAAGTAATTTCTTTAAAATGTTATGTAAAGATGTGTCCCATTCTATACAAATTAATCATGAATGAATCTGAAGATGCAATTTGGAATTGTTGGTAATATGCTGAGTGGATCCCATACAATCCACTGATACTCTAGCTGTCATACAGATGATGAAGAACTGATAAGGAAAATGATGAGATGGAAATGAGACAAAGCAAAACATCTGGATAGACACACATACACACACACGATTACACTCACGGTATCAGTGAATCTGCTCTCCCGGAACAGCTGATCTCCAGGTGTGTTCTGTGTGTGCGTTTCTCAACACCGCACGATTTCGAATCCCCCTGCGGCTGGCAGACAAGCCCGGCGACAGCGACGCAGCACGGAGGAAACACACACTGGCGTGAAGAATAGAAAGATGAAGGACGTGTCCATCTTTGGCGTTTCCAGAGCTATGAAGAAAACCGAAGGTAGTGGAAGCCGGTTTGACCCTTCCCCACCTACGACCGCTCCTGCTGGGCAACGGCCACCAAGGCTGTCCTCTCCCCCTACCAAACGCTTCTGGAAAGATCCACACCTCCCTTTGGTGGTTGCCTCATCTGCGCTGTCCCCACACACGCGTGGTGTGTGTGTGGGGTGGGCTGCGTGCAGATGCGCGTAGTATGAGCGTGTTCTCGTTTAGCCGGCTGCGGTGTGTGCGCAGAGACATTAGGCAGCTAAATGCATCGTGTCCTACAATCTCTTTGATCCGTCCTCCCCTGCTGCTGCTGCTGCCGCCGCAGCTGCCGTCACAAGCACACACACACACCCCCGTGCGCGTCACACACACGCAGAGATGAACCCAGCTCGGGCGTCAGTAGGCAAAAAGACCAGCTATAGCATCTGTGTTTTCTTTAGTTCCTCTATCCTTCTTTTTTCTCTCTCTCTCTCTCTCTCTCTCTCTCTCTCTCGCTCTCTCTACCTTCTTTTTTGCTCTCTGATCTCCTTGCCTCCAGCCCTCACTGCTTACTCACTCCGTCCCCTGGTGATCTTCTCTCTCTCTCTCTCTCTCTCTCACTCTCTCTCTTTCTCTGCATCCTTCTTGTCTCTCAACCAATTGTGTGGCTTGCTTAGAGCTGTCCATGGTTCTGAAAGAAAGAGAGCGAGAGAGTGTGAGTGAAAAAGGTTGTGTGTGTGTCAATCCTCTCCTGAGGGCATGACCTCTGCTTGTACAATGTTATCACCAGGCAACTACACTGGCTGATGCAAAAATACTCAAAGAGACAGTTGGCTATGTGTATGCGTTTTTGGCATTTAAAGGTGAAATGTTATTTCTGCACTAAAAATATTGTCTGTTTTCAAACAGGTTTCAAAGGATTCGGAATATATAGACTATATAATGTTCAAACATGGTAAGAACATTATATAGTCTGGCTGGTAAGATTTTTTAAATGTTTTTGAAAGAAGTAGGAACTCTTATGCTCACCAAGGATGCATTTATTTGATCAAAAATACATGAAAAAACAGTAATACTGTGAAATATTATTCCAATTTTAAATACATTTTTCTATTTTAATGTTTTAAAATATACTTTATTCATATGATGGCAAAGCTAATTTTTCAGCAGCCATTACTTCAGTGTCACATAATCCATCAAAAATCATTCTAATATCCTGATTTGGTGTCCTGGAAATATTTCTTATCATTATCAGTATTTTTATGGAAACAATTATACATATTTTTAATATCTCTTAATATCTCATATCTCTTTACTGTCAATTTTGATTTAATGCATTCCTACTGAATAAAGGTATTAATCTTAAAGGTAAAAAATCTTACTAAACCCAAACTTTGAACAGTAGTGTAGTTATAATATGTTTTTCTGAAATATTATATGTAGCTTTAAATAAATACACGTCAGTAATAATTCCAGGCTATTTTCCGTCGCTTTCTATTTTCCAGCAAAAGTTGTACAGTTCTAACAAAGGCTTTCTACAAAAATTTATAATATACCCATTTTTCTCTCCTCACCTCATTAACTCTTGCTGACTTAAACACTTGTTCACTGAAGACACCACTTCTATGGAATATGCTCTTATAGACATTGTATTACAGAGTTGTTTGTGTATGTTGCGTAAGGATACTTTGTATCCTTTGCTTACCTCTCCACTTCTCATTCTCTCATTTTTCTGTCTCCTCTGTTCTATCTTCCTGTCCTTTCTTGTCTCCAAGACTTTCTATCTCTGTGTGTAGGTATGTGTGTTTGTTTCTGTGTATGGGATGAATGTCCATCTGGGGGATTTTGTCCATCAATCACTTGTAACCCTTCTTCACTTGAACTGTGCGCACTGTACACACACACACACACACACACACACACACAAACAGAGGTCAGGATATGCTGATGCCTGTAGTGACACACACACACACATTCACAGTTTTCCTGTAGATATGATTCTCTTTTGTGTTCAGAATTTGCTGACATTAAGAGCTGAATAGAGATAACAGATCACGTTCTTTAGCTGCTGGAGTAAAGGCAGGAGACAAAGACCGCACATGGATAAATGAAGGAGCGAGACACCCACGTTGACTATTCACGCACACACTTCTTGCTTATGAATTCTTCAGTAGAACTGTTCAAAGAAGCACATTCCACAGTTCTGAACTTCACGTCAGCTCCAAAGACACAGCATGTGGCAAGAACATTTTTTTTTATTATATATTAAATTATGTACAGTGGGGCAAAAAAGTATTTAGTCAGCCACCAATTGTGCAAGTTCTCCCACTTAAAAAGATGAGAGAGTCCTGTAATTTTCATCATAGGTATACCTCAACTATGAGAGACAAAATGAGAAAAAAAAATCCAGAAAACTTAAGTAAAAAAGTACAGATAAACAGATTTATTTTGCAATTTTATTTAGGCTACTTAATTTAATTTTATATTAGCACATATTTTTCATAATCCTACTGCTCAAAAGTTGGCCTGAAGTTAGGAAGAACATTTTAAGGAAAATATAATTATATTTTCATAATGATTTTTTTCTTCTCAAACCTTGTCTGTGGTGTAAAAACACCCCTGGCCAAATGCCCCCAGAGGGCATCACTTCCCACTTTGATAATTACTGTAGTTACCATGTTCTGAACATCACATCCTTTCTTTTTTCCTCAGATGTAATCTATCTAGCTGGTTGAATAAAAATATTTGGACTTTAACGTTATATCTAAAAATGACCTCAACTTAGCACCAGCAAGCTTGTTAGCTAGACCGTTAGCATCAGCTAACAACATTTACTTATTTTCAGTATGATTATGAATAAACATTCAAATCGGTCTCCTCGGCTAGTTAATCCAAACAATATAAAAATGTATACTGTTGATAAACAATATCAAAACAGACGTCACATAGGGCTAAAAGCGTAACATTTTAATAAAACTCTTAACGTTACGGCGGCGGGGAATATCAACGTGCATGAATTATTTTATTTAGTCTTTGTTATTTTAATGTTTCGGGGTTTTTTTTACCTAAAACATAGAGACACTGATGTTGATGTGTCTGCATTCAAGCATTTCAGTGGGCTTAAATAGATCACCCTTTACAGCAGATTTAGTTCACAAACAACTGACAGTTTTGACCTAAATATGATTTTCAGTTACATAATTAATCCTAAAATTCGACATTAGTAACTTACTTTTAGCAGCATCAGTCGCACGCGCGCTCACAAGATCTCCCGGTTCTTACTTGTGAATTCAGTTCACTGGAGACTCGCACTAAACGATTCATTTGAATCAGTGAGTTGTCGACTCGAGAGCAGCTGCAATCGGTTCATTCGAATTCGTGAATGAATCGTTTGGTGCGATTTGCGAACCGATTTAAAAGGTTCATTGAAAAGATTCAGTTCGTTCTTGAATCTGACACCGCTTTTGCGTCTCGGAGCAAGTGATATATTATAAGGAGTAACGATATGTTTTATGAAATGTAGTGAAGTAAAAAGTACGATCTTATGCTTTGGAATGTAGTGAAGTAAAAGTAAAAGTTACTCAAAATAAAACTACTCCAGTAAAGTACAGATACTTGAAAAATGTACTTAAGGCTACTCCGTTACTGTCCGCTACTGAATATGAGTAATAATATAAATTATCTATTAAATATTAAATATATTGAATAATTAATTGAATAAATAATATAATAATAATCAAATAATATTTTAGTATATCAATTATATATGGGCCATTCTACAGAATTATCAAAGTCAGAGTTGGAAACATCTTGGTCTTTTTTCACAAATTTTATATGTATGCAAATTGTATAATATCCAAGGTACACATTTCTAGTAATTGTGCAGTTAATTCTCATATTGTATTTTCAGAAAGTTTTGGAGTATTTTCCTCTCCTCAAATGTGTCACTACCGAAACACAATAATATATTTTAATAAGAAGGGTTATATTGACCTATTAAGATTTTGCTTACATCTACCTTGTAAATATATATTTTTTGCTATTTTATTAGAAGATTTTCATTTTCAATTTTTTAAGTGTGATTTATGAGATTTGTTGTAATCAAATGTAAAACAAATGTGTGTGTGTGTGTGTGTGTGTGTGTGTGTGTGTATGTGTAAATATATATAAATACATTGTTTTTAAAGAAACAACTAAGTAATTAATTTTGTTTATTTGATTTGATTTGATTTTAAGCATGTACTTGTACCCCTGGTTGGGAATCACTGATATGAGAGAATGGTTCTCGGTATATATAAAGAACTGAATAAAATGGATTGCACTGCCTGTAGTGGCCATTTACTAAAATGTGCCATTCTCTAAACTGTGACAACAGCCCTAGAGTCACTGGTCAGTTTTTTACAGTTACATCCTTCTATTATAGTTACATAAAAAGAGGGACCTGAGGCATATTTAGGAAATGAAATATCCCAAAAAGCCAATGACTTAGGGATGGGCTCTTTTGACTTCTGCAACACCATAGCAACCACCAAGATATTGCATAGCAACAGGCCTAGAACCACTCAGAACACCTGAGCAACCACAAAGCAGAACTCAACACTGTAGCATTGTGTGGCATGCAAGTTCTGCACAGACCAGCACTTTTATTCCGAAAATAAAAATAATGTTGCATCTTAAAGCTGCTGTAAGCACTTTTTTTGAATAGCACACATGACATGTCCCTGTTGTCAGATAATCCCTGAAATAGGAGCCCTGAGAAATCACACAGGCTCTGTAAACAGCAAAAAACCCTTGACTGCTACCTGCATGTTAGCCAATCACAACACTCCGAGGTGGCTCTCAGCCAATGCTGTGAGTGCAGGGGGCTACCTTTTTTTTTCTCCACAGCTGAAGACAGGGGAGTGTGTTTGGTTCTTGATGGAAAGAACACTTCACCCCAAAAATTTAATTTCTGACATTATTAAGTCAACATGTCATTCCAAACCTGTACACACACGTATATACAGTATATATATATATATATATGAGTGAAAAATTTAAGGGGGTCTGAATACTTTCCGTACCCACTGTACATTTTTTAATACAATATTTTTGTGTGTGTGTGAACTATTCCTTTAATAAGATTGGATTTAAGATTTAAAGTCTCTCAATCCAACGTACGCACACATAGAGTTGCTGTATTATGAATTATATGTATTATGTATTATGTTGAGACATTCTGTACAGATTGCGTGATTCAGAGCTGATTTTCTGAGGTGAGGCTGAGCCAATTATAACTCCGCTGAATTATTAAATCTCTCTTTCTCCAGCATACATACACATCTCTTTCTCTTACATAAAAGTACATAATGCTCCAAGGTAACAAAGTTGTCCAAATACTTGTAGAGTGAACACACACATACACACACACACCCTCTCAACAGTCACA